GCTCCTCACAGACCTCAGAGGGGGATTGCAAGTAACTTAGCATTTTGGCCTACAATGGCAGCCTTGTCATCATATATAAAAAAAATACAATTGACAAGATCAATGAAAGCTTTTCAGACCTCTAACACAGGGGACATACATCCTGATTAGTAGCTGCTGCCTCCAGCAAAATGAAAACTCTTTCCTGAGCCAAAGAAACAGTTGATGGATATAGTAAGAAGTGTTAAAAAGGTCACTCTTAAGTACATCCAAGGAGATTTAAGTCACACTACCATCATACTGAAACTGTTAGAAAAGACAGTCTTCACACACTAGAGAGTTCCTAAAAACTTCCAAAATACTTCTCCTAGAAGAGGAGTCTCTCTTTAGGACTCCTATATCTGAGTCTTAAAGAAAATTCACCTTTGAACAAGACTACAAAACGTATGAAAAAAGTACAGTTTTACTCTCTGATATTCTAGAGGGATGTGTTACAGCATTGTACAGTGGTAACATACTACAAAACTGTAAGCTCTTAGTATTTTCTGAAGCAAATATGTTGGAAAAGAAAAAAAAAAAAAACAAAAAAAAATAGACTTTGTCTGTCCAGCACAGCTATTCTACAGTGCTTTGCAGAGCTTAAATATCATATCACAAGAAGAGAGCACTGTTTCCATTCTAACTGTAATGTCATCTCTTAAAGCTAGATTCATTTTTAATTGGTTGTTATTTGTCAGAACACTGTCCAAGAAACTATCTGATTTTTTAAAGCTAATTTAGGTGTTTCCAGATGAATGGAAGAAAGCTAATACATTGCCAAAAAGTTTAAAAGTTTGATGGAATGACTTGAAGATTAATAGTCAAGCTGACATCAATCCAGTGCAAAATATTAGAATGGTTAATTCCAGCCACTATTCCTAAAAAGATAACAGAAAAGTTTATCAGGCCATTCACCATGAAATTAAGGATAATAGATTTTGTCTCAAGCAAATTCTCTTGACATTTCTTAAAAAATGCTATAAATTGAGACTCATCATCATGAGAATATCAGTGATATCTTTTGGGTCACTTCTGGGCTCTGTGCCATTCAACATTTTAATCCGCARCTTGTAAGGAAACAGAATTACTGCTGGTAAAACAAGCAGAAATTGAACSGGGCAGTTATAAAACCTGAAGAGAGCAGCTGGTTAGCAGGCGATCATCTAAGCATCCAGTAAGTCATGTAAACACACACTAAAAAACACACACACATGAGATGAAAMAGAAAGCCATACAGATTGGAGCATGAATCTGTTCCTCGTGGCCACCAACGAGACATGGCTTTTGATGAGCACTACCATCCCTTGCCTTGAGCTCTCAGGTCAGGCAGTGGCTTGGGAACTCATTTTGCTCTTGGATTCCATAGGGGCAAGCATGGCAACACCTAAAAACCCATTCAATCCTCTTGTCATGACAGCAATGCATGGACATGTGGGATAAAACAGACTGTTTATCAAAGAAACATATGTACTGTTCTGATTAGCAGAATTTAATGATTCATTCTTCCTTCTTTAAGTATTCAGCTAGTGCCCATGTATATGCTAGTACTTGGATGGTGCTGAGAAAACAACTAACATATGAGGTCATGAGGAAGCTCTTGTTACCTGGGATTTATTAAAATCAGGTCTGGGGTGATTTGTCCACAGACAAATATCTTCAGATTTGCTTCACTGCAGTATGATAGAACACATCCCAACAGTGCTATCCAAATCATGGATTAGGGCGAAGCTGAAGAACATATGTTTGTTACATCCTGTTTGGATGATACCAAAAGAGACACAAACAAAACAAAGCTACAACAGATTTTGGCATAAAATTAAAGATATTGTCTTTAATCTCAGCATAGTTCAAGAATACGTCTGTTACGACATGGACTGAGGAACTCAGTTCTATGTTTTGGCCATGAAAATAGCTTCAAAGATCTTTGAAAAATCTGATTTTGAAGATAATCTTTAAATGTATAAGCTATGCTTTCAGTGAAATTCAGATAGAACAGTAAGTATATTCCCTATAGTTCAAATAAGGAGCTTATTTTTTCATTTGCAGGAAATAAGGTTTTATTCTACCTATATTATGTTAAAACTTCTTGAAAGATAATCAGTCATTTGCCTTAAATTGCAGAATGAAGTAATACCCTACAGCATTTAGAGAAGAAGTAGTCTGTTTATACAGAAAGCACAAGAGCTATAATTACTACATGATCACATTTGTGTATCAAGGTCAGAATTCTGTGATTCACACTATTGTTTGGACATAAAGGGAGTTGATTTTCAGCATGTGGTGCACAACTACCATTATTGCTACATCAGTGACTGTAGAAACAATATTAACTTCTGCTTGTTTGAGTTTTTTGAGTTAGGTTAACTCCAGTTCAAACACTCATGAAAACAGCTGGTTAATATTTGTACTAAAATATTCATTAGACATGCAAAATATGTACTTATATTGTTATTGCTCAGGTTGTGTACTCCATAAAAAAGCGAGCTAAAAAAAAAGAGAACTCCAAAACAAAAAGCAAACCAAAATAGGCCGTTAAATGACTGACTTKATGCATGAAATCACACAGAGTATGGGCAATATCCAAGGTGGGTAATTAAGGAGTGCAAAAACAGTTGCTGATCTCCTCTCTTCTACAGAATCCCTGCATAGCTTTTCTTCTTGACTATTATTCAATATACTTGGCAATTCTTTTATTCAACTTGGAGAATTCATTAGCTTTCTATATGATTTTACCAGTTATAAAAGCTTAAAAATACAGGAATTCAACTCATCATACTTTTAGTTAAGAACTAGGATTAATACAGCACTTAGTACCAATTAATTCAGTATTACATCTTTTTACAATTAGACATGAAAATAAATACATTTATTGTCTGAGGCCTAATAGAATCTACTGTTTTATTAATACATCTGATGAATTGATACCCAGCTTTAATGTGTATTCTAAGGTCATTGTGTTCTTAGTTAGGCTTCTTTCTCTTACTTAAGCCYCTGCCAGTCTTTCACTTTTCAGGTGTAGGAGTCTCTAGGTAAAAAAGTAATCATATTTCCTTGGTTTTTCATTGTTCTTTATCCTTTCTGGGGTTTTTGTATTCCTATTCACTCCTTGTTCCCACTCATAGTGTCRTGTGTGAGCCCTTTACATAAATCTGATACCCTTATCCTCACATTGCCGGGGAACTTGGGGGGCACCGTTTTTTACTTTTTTTCAGGTGAAAACACCTGAAAACACTTTTCTGAAACAGAAAGGCAAGAAGCCTCCTTGACACAAGCTAAATTCTACAAAGGTCCTGGGCTAGGGTTTCCTGAACGCTGTATTTAGCTCCGAGAGACCCACTAAAGGAGTGGGCTCAAGGACTGAGGAATTTGTCGCCTGCCCAACTTGTCCAAGGTCACCAAGACAGGGAGTTGAATCCAATGCAAATCAAAATGTAATCTAATGTAAATTATAGTTACTTGTGTACCTGGGTCAGCATTTGATTTAGAAAGCAATGAGCTATTTTATTTTTTTCTTTTTTAACTATGTTTTGATCTGATTTGAAACATATAATCATGAAGGCAACTAAGGAGATGGATATCACTAGAAAGAACAGGCCTGCTATAATGTTAAACAACAAACTGACATGTCATGGGTTCATCAGATCCTGGCTTGGCAGTAACTATGCCAAGACTATGATATTTGATTGTCTKCTTGTGGAGACCTTTCTTGGTCCATGGAAAGCACACAGTGCCCAGATCATCTTTTAAAGCTCCTTTCCTGCATGTAATATAATATTAAAGTAGTATATTCAGTGTAGAAAATAAATACTTTTCCTTTTGCATGTTTGCCTTCATATCCAAGGACACACCTCACAAGTAGCACACCTCTAGTCTCACCTGCTTTATATCCAGCATATAAAAATCTGAAAGCTGTTCTGTTGGTTAAAGAGATTTCTAACCCTCCTAATGTCAAAAGAGATCTTAACAACATCACTTGAGCATATCCTAAAGGCTCAGAAACAGAAGGAAAAAAGGAGGATAGTAACACTCCATCCAAAACCTTAAATGTTGCAATTTTAATTGAATGCCATATGTTTGGAAGACTGGGATTATTCTATGTTATTTTCAGTGTTAAGGCCTGGCAGACCTCCAGACCCACATGACAAATTTGGAAACATAAAACAAACAGGACAAAACCCATAAACAAAGTAGAGCAGTCTCTAGGGAAATAGGTCAACAGAAGTAGCCAGACTTCTCTCTTAAGGAATCAAAAAAAAAAAAAAAAAAAAAAAAAAAAGGCTCATAGAAGAGGAGATACCCTTTTCCTGGTGGAACTGACACTTTTCCTGATGGAATTAAGTTGCTAGCTCAAATGGAAATGGATCAAGTGGCCTAAGTACAGTGGTACTTCACACACTTGGAAGGTCATTGCTTGTCTACGTCCTGSTATGACAGTCTCCTCCGAAACTACTCCCTTCTTCTATGAACAGAATTTATTTCTATCAGGCCATTTTTTGTTCCCAGTCTCTTGATTTTTCAAGTCCAATCTCCATCCTGAAAAACACATCAGTTAGTTTGATGCACATCTGACAYGGAAATTTTCAGCCTGAATGCTTAAACTGAAGTTATATCTGAAAACAGGGGCTCCTAATGGGAAGTGTCAGACAACTTGAATAGGCAGTGTTACCAGCTCTGCATATAATACAGCTCAGTGAATAGTTGCCACATTCGGTTTTATGAACAGAGTTTTCCCAGTCAGCTAAAAGAAAGTCTCATGTAGCAATTTTTAACAAGGTGTTATTCTCAGCAGATTTCTAATGGGTCTGTTTACTAGAATGAAATTCACAATATCAAATCTAGTAAACAACATATATGACAAATTGTCATCATGGAAGAATTTATCGTCTGTGGACATTGTTTCAGGCTGTCATGATAAGCAACCTTTCCAATCCCATAAATGTAGTCAATTTTATTTACTTGCATCACTTTTTCTCCTTATCTAGGTAGTTTCCTGGTTGTGACAGATGAGACATGAGATCTTCAGCTTCCAGGCTTTCGAGTTTTTCCTCAAGAGATTCATTATGGAATCGGTAAGAAGACAAAACTAAGAAAAAAGGTTTATAGTGTAAGAAAGAAAATCTTGCATATAGACTAAAATCTGTGGGAAAAAAAATATGTCCAAAAAAAAAAAAAAAAAAACCCACCAAAAACATAGTTTTAATCCACTGCAATATCTGACAGTGTTTATTTCCTGTGCTTAATGCCATTCTGGATGTTATTACAGAGGCACTTTTCAAGAAAGGTCTAACTGAGTTATCCTTGCAAGGATCAATAAATCCAATAGATCAGTAAACCCTTCCATAATATTGGCTTCCTGTGCAAGTACYGGAGCAAACACTAGCATTTTGCTTTGTTTTCATAGATATCAAAGCTGAATGTGAGAGAAAAAAAGGACACTTTGTAGCTCCTTTCAGTTCCTCTAAATCTGTTAACTGATGTTGTTTTAACTTTGAGAACCACAAATCGCTGAGATGAACCTGAAAAATCTATGGCAAGATTTGTGCGGGGGCTTGAAAGAGGAGGGACTCTGTTTTCTGTGATGTAAAACGTTGAACAGTGCACAGTTGTCCAAATATGCTTTTGTTTATTCAGCCTCTGAATGGTGAGTGCTCTTGTTTTAAGGTTTTTACTGTGTTTCATTGAACCACAAGAGGCTATGTTTAGATTGCCCGACTCGAACCYACTGCAACAACAATATTGACAGTTAAAGCTCAAGTTTTCTTTGCACCTGAGGCAGTGGTCACTGCTCTCTACTTGAGGATCACAGCAGTGTGTGACTTTGAGCCTCTTGTCTTCCCTTGAGGGGAATGGTTGACCACAGAGCCCTCCAACCTAGCSCAAAGGGTGAATCACTGAGGCTGATCTGAAAAATGAATATATCTCCCTTTGGTGTGTTTACTTTGTCACATGRCTATGCATATTTTTTCCTTTTAAAGCCCACGATGTCTAAATAAGCATGAGACCAGAATCAAACAATCATCCTTTGAAAAGTATGAAGCTATTAACCTGGATATTTCTGTTTGGTTTTGAAACAGGACTTACTTTTTCATGTCTTAGTCCTCCTAGATTTTCTTGCGGGCATAAAATRGAATACCTCCATCAGCAAGCAAGCAAGTGATGGTGGCATAAAGAAAACCTCATTTCCTATGAGTTTGTGTCTTGACTGCAGTATCTGGGGAGGTACAAACTGTCACTGAAACTTCTCCCATGATTGGGACATATATAGACTTTCCTCCCATATTCATCTTGATAAAGACCAAGATGAGATGGCATCTTTTTTGTCCATGGGGACAAAAATACTGCTTTCTTCTGCTCATTTTTATCTTCCTATAGAGGAAAGAGGTAGCAGCTGAGGAAATTTGACATTTTCTTGCCTTTCTTCAAATTTGGTGTGATTAGTGATGGGTTAAAAACAGCACTGGGACAGGATAGGCAGGCAGATGATTCTGTGAGCCTCATTCCCTTTACTGTAGTCAATGGGCAGCTGGTTAGCTTGGGAAACAGAAAGCCGGGGTCTAAGATGAGCATAAGCAGAAAGAAATGACTRCTGAGAAACAAGGCCTGAAATGGCTGACTTCTGCACTGAAATTCTGAACCTCTTCATTTCCTTCAGCATAGTATGAGCAGAGATCCAGTGGAGATTAGATCTTTGTGGCAAAATCAATTCCCCAAAACTTCTGGATGTTTGTCAGCCTTCTGCGGTTTAATAGGACCCAATGACTCAATTAAATGTCTGTATTAAGAGACAAGTTTTAAGACAAGAGACATAGTTTTAAAATCAAGCCTATTTCRTTTGATGGCAACTCCATGAGTATTAAAACAGGTATGCCTCAAGTTATTTCAGGTCTTATGCATCATAAAAACAAACTGATCTCCTTAAAAAAATAGGACATTGCTCCGCAGCTGAAAATTTCCTATGCTAAGTTCAAGTTGACAATAATTATTTTTGACTTATGTTATGAACCCTTGAAAATAGAGGCTTATATAAAGGAAACACAGATGTGCTAGTAAGCTGAGTGGTTGCAAGGGCCTTTCTTATAATATCTAACATATGTAGATTTATTTCCAACATTTCTCTAACGAGATGCCATTTAGGTAATTAAGAAATGAAGAGCTCAGTATGTTCAGTCAACACTATAAACCAGCTTTTGAGCTTCAAGTCAGTAGGCCCGTACATGTGCATGTTTGCAGGACTCTGCCTTAGAAAAGCTTGTGTAAAGCCACAAATGACTTTTATATATCTGTTTAGCACAGGGGGGTCACAGTCCCTTTTCTGCCACTAGAT